CAGTGAAGGGAGGAAGTGGCCTGGATGATTCTGAGGTCCTTCCTTCAGGACCCTAATGGTCTAAATAGATCAACTTAGAACGGACATTTTATGGTCCAAGAAGCCAGTTCAGTGGGAGGGATGGAGAAGATAAATGGTAACAGATCCGTGAGTTTAGTAGTGATTTCAGAGAACATGGCATAGTCCTTAAAATAAAATTAATCTTAATTCTGCCTAATTTAAAAATAAATGTGCCATAAACCATCACTATTCAAGCTTTATTTGGCAATCTTCTGCAAAATCTGGAAGGCTGGATGACTAAGAGCATAGTATCATTTTCATTAAAAGCTTAACATAAGAATGGTATTTATAGACTGATTTATAATTTTCAAAGCACTCTTCACATATATTCTCTGATCTGATGTGACTTGCTCAAGACCACCAGCTGATAAGCTGAGCCAGAATTCCAGCCCTTTATCATTTCCAAACTGACTCTCCATGAGCAGCCAACCAGAGAGGGGCAAATGTGGGGAGAAAAACAAAAGCTCTAGTGATACATGGAAGCACATTGGAGGATTTGGGGGTGGAGAAACCTGCAAGAAAGCATGGCCCTTTAACAGTGCTGGGACAAAGCTAGGGTGGGCAAAACCCTCCTCTTGTCACTGAGGCATACAACTACAGGCATTCAATGGGAAGAAAATGCTAGGCTGGCACTGACAGTGCCCCTTTGGTACCCCGCTCCATAATTAGCATGATCTTAGCATGGAAGACAGCATCTCTTCCCCTTCTTTGAGTTTGTGGCTATTATGTTATCCTGGACATTTTGGCCTCTGTTGTTGCTATGACTACAGAGGTGGCATGGATTCCTTCACTGTTGCTTGAGGAATCCCCGAGGAGATTGTGCTAAAAGTTCTTAGTGTCAGATGGCTCAAGGGGAGGTTCTTGTAATGGTCCTGCTATTGGCAAGGCATTAGGAGGAGGCTTTCAGGACACAGCCGCAAGATGTTTTATTAGCACTCTCTCACCATGTTGTGGTCCTCCTGAGATTCCAGTCCTGTGGGAGTATACGGGTGAAACCTGAGATCTTAAAGGGGTCTTCCTTAAGACTGACATGTACTATAGCCAGTCACTTGATCCGTGAGGCAGGTGACCCAGACAAAAGTGGCTACTACTGGGCTGTCCTCGTTTGGCTACACAGTAGGATCACCTGGAGAGCTTTTGCAAGCCCAGTGCCCAAGTCATAACCTATTCAAATTAAATTACAGTGTCTGGGGTAAGAGCCAGATAGCAATATTTTTGAAATAACCTAGCCGATTCCAGTATGCAGCAAATTTTGCAGCCCATGGGCTTATGATTTGTCTAACATCACACAAGTGGGGACAGGAACCTATCACGGTTCAGCTCCATTGTTTTTAGCCAAAACGGACGCTTGCCTTAAAAATGAAGGATGAGTAGATACAGCATCACTCACGACTACCCTTCAAGGTAAATATGTTTACCCCAGTTCCCTGATGGAGAACCTAAGTGTTTTAATTTGTCCTGTGAGCCCTCCTTAAGCGTGGAAGGAGGCACTCCTGTGGTGCTCACTCCAGTTCTCAAACATGCAGCGACATTCACTGAAATGTTTGCAAAGGGCCTACTGTGTGCCAGCCATTGTCCTGGGCTTTGGGGATAAATGGTGACCAAGGGACATAAGGCTTTGCCCTACCAGAGCTTATAAGCTTTATGAAGGACCCAAAGACCTATTTCAGCAATTCCAGCACTTTAGGGTTAAGGCTGAGATGGGAACTTGTTTTATTCATTTTTAGCTGGGCCTTGTTTCTTCAGGAGGATTTGTGGCAGCAAAAACATGCATAATGAAGTTGTTAGGATATAAATAAGAAACAGAAATCAAGACTGGGGAAAAACATAAATAAGAGTAGAGTCAAGAACAGAAGAAAAACTCATAGCTATGCAAGTCATAAGGATCTGCTTGGGCTGAACCTCAAATTTGGCATTAAGTGTTCTGGCAGCCATATTGAAAAGGGAACTATGGTTAGTTATTATTGTTAGAGAGACAAAAAAATACCAGTTCCTCAGGGAAGGAGAGGCTTTCTAACACTTGGCTCTTAAGGAAATGTCTCATGTGGAATTTTGTACGGTCTCCAAGAATATTCCTAGAGTGACTGCAAAAGTGGGTTTTATAAGGCAGTACCCTGTAGACCCTGCAAGGAAAGGGAGGATATGAAACAAAAATGCAATTTGATAAACCCATTCTTGTCATGAGTAGTCAGTCAGAAGTAAGTTGATTCAGGTCACATATACGTCCATATGAGTCTATGGCTAGAATACCTGGGGAAGTGTATGGATTGGACACCCTTCATAATTTTTCTTTCTTGGGATTTTGATAAGGCACATAGATAAAATATTTTTCTGGGGTAGAGTTGAAGACTAAGTATTCCGTGTTGTGGATAATGTAAGGGTTTATACCAGGGGATAGCAAACATTTTCTGTAAAAGATAGTAAATATTTTAGCTGCTATGGCCCAGATAGTGTCTGTCATATAGATTCAACTCTGCAGTTATGACACAAAAGCAGCCCTAGAGGATACATAAGGCAATGGGGCTGGCTGGGTTCCCATGAAACCTTGATTAATACAAATAGCTGGCCAGTCAAATTTGGCTGACAAACTATATTGCCAACCCCTCGTTTAATCTGAAAATTTTAAAAAGCAAAATGTATGATTGGTATGCTTTTGTTGGAATTCCAGAACATTTAGAACCTTGGCAAGTCTTGCTCAGTGGTGACTCTGGCCTTGTAATTTAATTGAAAGTAGGTGATGATGCATGCGGGAGCGAACATGGCTCGTGTTCTGGGTACACATTCATTAAGGTCATTGAAAGAACATGCAGACACCAAAGCAAGCCATTACATCTTTGCACACCATAGTGACACTCAGTGGACAGGGAACTGGGGTTAATGCAGCACAAAACTGGACTGGGTCTAGAATTTTTGTCCTGCTATGTGGAGGAGAACTGTGGTATTTCTCACTTGGAGGTCTCATAAAGCAACAGGGGTTCTCTGGTAAGATCTCATGGCTGGTTCCCCTGAAAAGAGAGAGGTTGGACCATCAGCAGGATCTCATGCATGCCTTTATCGTCTTTTCAAGCGCAAAATTTACTCCAGGCTACCAGATGTAGATTCTAACCAGCTTTCTAGAAGTACAGCCAAAGATATGGTGACCCACAAGGGAAAAAAAAAATAACATAATTTCACTATAAAAAAGCTTAGTTGTGAGTTGATAATACATGTTGATGGTTTGTTATGGCCTGAGTTCTTAAATACTTCGCACTGGCTGCATACGAATCTGGGGTTCTTAATTAATTAGTGGTTAATTACATTCATGGTGTAATGGGAGCTACAGGAAAGGGTTGAGTTTGGGTGGTCTTCGGAAGGGGTGGCTTCACGTGGTCTGGAATCTACAAGAACAGGTGGCTTAGGGCTTCGGCCTTAAATATTGCTTCCACCAACTTCTGCATAACCCGTAGTCGTGAGCGACCAATTACCTACTCATGTGTCCCATAGGTGGTGACAAGGGGAGTGCAACTTATAAAGAAATAACAGCTTCAGAAGAGTTGTAAAAACATGACCGTTGGATGCAGTTATGAAACTTCTGTAGCCTCATCGTGTGAACATAATTTGGTCTAGCACACTTCCTGGGTAGTAGGGAATCGGGGCATATACTCCATTCGGAATGTCCTAACTATTCACTCATCCAGCAGCAGAAGGTTCTTATTAGGAAAACGGTTGCCGCTCCTTGTAATATGGTTGCAATGACTAGTCCAGGCTTATGGAGAGCAAGGACTGTGTCTTTCTCTTCATATCCTCAGGGCTTAGCCCAGGACCTGATCCCCAGGGGCTACTCTAAAATATTTGCCCAGCGAATGAATTCTGGTTAGTATCATCCTATTGGCAGAGCTAGTATCAGAGAGAGGTGAGTTCTGTTACACAAATCGTGGCAGATACTGAATCGCTCCAGAAGAGACTAAGGCTGTTGTTTTGGGATTGGAACAAAATATGCCTACAAAACTTAAAAAGCAGAAAACCATTCAGATAGAATATAGTGGCCCCCACCCCACCCCACCCCAGCAGATATGGGGGTGGGGTAAGGGATTGGCAGTCAGATTTATATGGCAGGTATATTTTTAATCATGGCTTATTCTTAACAACCATGATTTAAGGCCAGACGAGTTTCAAGGGCAAATTTCTTAGGGAAAATGTCTGATGTCAAAGTTGCCTGGGACTTCTTTTTCAGAAATAACAAATGACCAGACTAATTATTTTGTTTCCTCTACTTCTTTCCTCTGGCCCCTGCCAATATGCTTATTTATACCAAGGGCTTTATCAGTTGTCTTAAGAAAACAAATTTCCTTCAACAAACGTTACAATATAATCTGATGGTCCTATTTTTCAAATGTCCCTGCCACTAATGAAAACAGATGCACAGAGAACGGAGGCCTTCTGAGCCAAAAACACATTAATACTGCTATGGCTCTGCCCCCCACCACCCTGGTGGCCAGGTGGGAGAGTAAGAGAGAAGGACAGAGCCGAGGGGATGAGATTGTATGCAGGAAGCCCAGAACCCAGCTGAGGCTCCAGACCTGAGCATGTCATTGTAGGCTTTGGTTGCTACAAGGGAATGTGGGCATGAGGAAAGAATCAAGAGAGATGAACTTGAAGCAAAGCCTAGTATCACGTGGGGGTAAGCTTAACACAGGCAGTTTGCTTTACTGTAATAGAGAAATTGCCTACTCCCACGGCATCCGGCAGGTTTCTAAGGGACCAACTTTGGACCCAGGGACATTAAGTATCATCCCTCCGCCTCTCTCTGGCTCCCACATCTCCCAACCAAAGGAACTTGAGCATCTGTTCATAGTTTTGCCCTGAAGTCTCCCCCAGCGTTAACCACACGTGGGTATTAATTGTTACTACCTGTGTATCCCCTTGATTCACTGATCCATTCTGGATGTTCTTGGTCTCAGGGCCTGAGGATCATTTTCTCAGATGCATCACGGCTCATCTTCCGGCTCAGTTCCTCCAGCAGCGTGCGGGCCACCATCAGACTGTACGCTGAGAGCTACGAGAGGGACCCCAGCGGTCATGACCAGGAGCCCCAGGTACGCTCAGCACCATGTGTCTCATCGTTCCTAGAAAATTTAGGGAGCCCTTGTGGGCCTTTAGTGAGGGTGATTTTACTTTCTGGAATCTAAGTTCCATATTGATAGATGCAGCTGAAGGACAAGCTTACAGTAACTGGAGACAAAATTTCACTCACTCATGACAGTGTTTGGAACAGAAAATTTGGGCTCTAGCCTCTATGATGAGTTTAGACCAGCATTTCCCAAGTGACTTGCCTTTCTTGATTGTTCTGCAGTTTGTTGAATTGGGGTGACCTCAAGAAAAATGACCTTGTATAGATAGAGAAATGTTTAGTTAGAGTCAAGCTGGTCCAACTCCTCAGAGCCTCGACTGTGCGCATGTAAATAATGAATCTCCAGGTGTTTGGCGAACTCTGGGTTGGATCGTGACCTTGAGGTGCGAGTGTAGATGCTACGCAGGCCCTCCTGTCTGAGGTTGCTGCAGAGCCCAATTTCTCTTAAGAAGAGGGCCGAGGGCTGGTCTGCATTTAAAGTTAAGGGAGGCGAAGCTAGATCAGCCAAGGCTGGGCCACCCTGTGTTTGGCAAAGCCCCTTCATGTTGTCAACAATAGGGCTAATGAAGAACTCAGAAAAAATCCAAAGAGCCCAACCGTAAGCATCCCCACTCTTACATTCATTAAAGCTGCAGGCAACATTAATTAATAGCAGAAAGGACCCACCATAACGTTGGATATTTCCAGCTACACTGCGGGCCTTCCCTTGCCCCCTTGGTCTCTACTTCACCCTGGGTTGTTTGTTTTTTTTTTTAATACTTTATTTATTTATTTGAGAGAGAGAATGAGATAGAGAGAGCATGAGAGGGAGGAGGGTCAGAGGGAGAAGCAGACTCCCTGCTGAGCAGGGAGCCCGATGCGGGACTCGATCCCGGGACTCCAGGATCATGACCTGAGCCGAAGGCAGTCGCCCAACCAACTGAGCCACCCAGGCGCACTCACCCTGGGTTTTGAAGTAGAGTCCTTGATGAGGTGATTCCTTGAGATGAACTAGTGGTTCCATCTGCAGAGCTGCTTTCGTGGAGAAGTAGAGAAGCAAAGAAAAACTTACTGCCTCTCATTTTAGAGTTACTCCAAATTTCCAATGATAATTTGCCAAAGTTGTGCCCTAGAATGAGACCAGAAAGGGTTTTCTTTCTTTCTTAGTGGTTTAGTGTGTTTTTCTTAAAATGGTATCTTTCTTTGGAGAGTCTCAAAGAACTTGATAAATATGTGCCATAGATCCTTAGAGCTGATGATGGAACCAGAAGGTCTGTTTGGGGTCAGATCATCTCAGATGGGGAAGTAGAGGTCTGGGAGGCTGAGAGCTAAGAGCATGAAGCTAGTATAAGGTCCTTGGCCCTTTCCTGTCAGGATCACAGGCTTTCCATGCAAGGACGGGCCACGCCCTGCCAACATAATTTGTCAGTGAGTACATTTCGCCCAAGATAGTACCAAATCATGCAAGAATTGGAGGCTTACCCTCTCTTTCCATATAAAACCCTTCTACTTTTCATGTTGGGAAAGGAGATTAAAGCAAGGCCCTAAAACTCCAGAGCTACATACAGGGTGAGGAATGATATTCCTGGCTTTACCAACTCTGACTCACTCTGACTCGAGGCTATTTTTTCTCAACATTCTTTTCCCTATTTGCACAGGGTAAGTAATTATGATAAGTAGTTATGATACTTGCTTATTTGTATTTACCTTCCACACTGACTGCAGGAGTGTGACATCTGGGCCTTTAGACATGTGTGAAAACGATCCTGTGCACAAGTGAGTCTCTCTCTCAAGTGTTCCACAACAGCCAAGTGGTGCCACTTTTTTTTTCCAGAGCTTCCTTTGAAGCTGAAAACTTCCATAGGCCTGCTCCTAGAGGGTTGTGTGTTAAGTACTGCTTCAGTCTGTGGGTAGAGAAAACATAAGTAATGCTTGTTTCAGTGGTCAGTACTCTTTATTTTCCATCCTGTTGGTTCAAAGAGTTTGCCATTTTGAATGGTTGAGGAATCCTTTTGTTGATCGTGTTCTTCTGATCAATAATCTGCCTTCCCTTTTTAATCATGAGCGAGGGTCTTCCCAAACCTGGATAGGTGGGCCTCACTGTGTTTAGCTCAGGATCCAGCTCAAAATTTTACATTAAGCTAGAATTCCTTATTAAAATCCCTTATATCATTGACTCACCAACTGAAGCCCTGTTGCATAATACATGTAAGTCAAGGTATAATTTAGAATAAGGTTTGAAAAGACATCTACACCCCTAAGGAAGAGGAAGAAGACCCCCAGTAGACTCACCTGTCTCATCACTGCTGAATCACACCTAGGCACTTAAGTTTGACTGTTCGGGGCCTCCTTACAGCATTGCCTCCCAGGACCCCAGCTTCTGCCTTTGAAGAGCTCTGGAAGGAAAAGCCTTTGGCCAACTGTTAACAGAGATCAAAGATACAGCATGCTACTGAGGTTATTACTGATCTGTGGCCTGATGGGGAAAGACCAGCTGTGTTGCTTCCTCAACTACAGAGACCTCTTCCTCCTTTCTAGCTTGTTCCAATTTGCAGCCCAGAAAACAGAACAAATACCCATCCCCCCCGACTCAGATACCCAGTAAAGTACCTCTTGAATGTGTAGAGATTCCATTGATAAACTTGTCCAATTCAACAGGTATTCATGTTTTACCTGCCTTAACTCAATACCCACCTACATTCCCATCAATAGCAAAAGGACTAGAGAGTTCTCTTCAACTGGCTTCTCAGCAACTGGCTATTGTACTTTGCATGAAGAGTTTCTTGTCCATACATCTTTTTTAAAGTTTTTATTTAAGTTCCAGTTAGTTAACATGCAGTCTTATATTAGTTTCAATACACTGTATATAATATAGTGATTTAACAAATCCATACATCACCTGGGGCTCATCACAAGTGTCATCCTTCATCCCCATCACCTATTTCCCCCATCCCCCTCCCTCCTTCCCTTCTGGTAACCATCAATTTGTTCTTTATAGTTAAGAGTCTGTTTCTTGGTTTGCTCCTTTCTTTCTTCCTTTTTTTTTTTTTTTTTTGGTCCCTTTGCTGCTTTGTTTTGCTTCTTAAATTCTACATATAAATGAAGTCATATAGTATTTGTCTTTCTTTGACTGACTTATATCATTTAGCATGATACTCTGTAGCTCCATATATGTCATTGCAAATGGCAAGATTTCATTCTTTTTTATGGTTGAGTAATATTCCTGTGTGTGTATGTGTACCACAACTTCTTTATCCATTCATCAATCAGTGGACACTTTGGTCCAGACATTTTAAACACATGGGAACAGAACATGTTTTAAATATTAATACTGTGGTTGCCTCATAAAAGTGTTCATAACCATCCTGGGGATGCAACTAGGAAAATCTGTGGTATAGGCTATATGCAGAAAAGTCCCTGCTCCTGCCTATAGATTTATTTGGGTCCATTTTTACAACAGTTATTATGGTATTTGTTTTCAATGATTTAAAATAATTTAATTACATCAAAAATATTTTTAAAGAATTCTGTCCATCTACCCCTAGGAATGGGTGGTGAGGGGACGAAGAAGATGAGGGGCTCTGGGGAGAGGAGAAGGTGCTTGCCTTGCCCTTGCTCTGTGTTCTTGCTTAATCAGGAAGGAAAGCCTTTAAGGCCTATTTCTGGAAGATCACATAGTTTTGAAAATACAAGATTACTTTAATTTTACTGGCAATCAGTAGACCTTCAACAAGCCCTCAAACCAGCTGGTAATAATTTGGAAAAAGGGATGAGCCAAAAGGATTTAAGTTCACAGGTGACCAGAAACAGTCCCATTGTTTTTCACTTTCTTTCCCACCAAGCTTATTAGCAGGACTGCTCAATTAACTTTTTATTTACCTTCTCTCCTTTTCCCTTTGAACCTGAGGGTGGAGTAGCTCATGAACAATAAAAGATCCAAAAGCAAAAGGAAGAAGTTTTGTTAAGGGCTGGATAATCACATCCTGATAATGAGCTCGTGGCTAATCAACAGTTGGCTTTGGTACTTTAATTGCAGAATAAAACCGCACCCTACCCCACCCCAAGTTTTGGAAGGAGACCAGTTTTCCCCAACCCTCCTTACAGTTGAGGGAATTTATGTATTTCTGATAGTCTGTATATAGACTACTTTAAGGACCAATTATCTAAGCACCAGGAGTCATATAGGGCATTCATCCATCTGACCAAGAGCTGGTGGCCATTTTGCTCTACGTGTTCTTATTATGACTTTATAATCCAGAAATGTTAAGTACAGAGCCATTTTGTGTTACATTGGGAGAATATAATTTTTCACCTAAACGAGGATACATTTGAGAGTGAAAGGGGGCACTAATAACAATTATGTTGAGACTGCCCCAAATAAAACAGAACTTGGGTTACTCTAGTTACATACCTTCATGCTACCCTAGAGCTGACCATCTCTTTAGAGATGGGCTTCCGAGGGCACTATCAGTATAAGCCTAGTAGTACAGAGAGGATGTGCCAGGAACGAGGAGTTGGATCCATGGTTCCAACCAAAGCTACACACCAGGACCATTTGGGGCTTTGGTAAAGATACCTGGGCTTGGGCCTCACTCCCAGAGATTCTACCTTAATTGTTCTAGGGTGGGGACTGCATTTTTGAAGTTTCCCAGATGGTTCAAATTAGGTGAGTGCTCCCAAACTTTAGTGTTTATTTAAATCACCTGGGGATCTTGCTAAAAATGCAGATTCTGACTCGGTCTGATGAAGGCCAGAGAGTCTGCGTTTCTCGCAAACTCCCAGGCAATATTATGTTGCTGGTCCAGGAGCCACACTTTGAATAGCAAAGAGTTAGATGAACTGCTAAGCCTTAAAGACAAGTCACTGAATTCTTTAACTTAAGCAGCGCAACACCTCTTTTTAGTGCCCTTGTGTGCATGGGCCACTATCCTCTGGATTCCTCTCTCTGGTAGCCCACCCAACTTGACTTAGGCAAAAGTGACCTCC